GCCCCTCCCGCGACCTCCTCCCGTGAAAAGCTCAGCTTCCCGCTGGGGCTGTGACAGGTGTGGGGGGGCGGGGGCCTGGCTGAGGCACTGCCTGCTGTGTTCTGGTATAGCTCATGCGGGGGACACACACACACCCACACCCACACCCCCCCACACACCACCCACACACACACACCACACACACACACACTGAACCGGCACCGCCTCTGTCTCCGCCTGTGATGGCCGTGTTTTGGTGACGAGAACATGTAGGATCTGCTCTCTTAACTCCAAGCACAGCCGGCACCACAGGGACCAGCTCCCAGATGCCGGATGGAAACAGAAGCCAGGCCCCGACGGCAGGTGTCATGGTGACCACATGAGGTCCACCCCAGGGACTCGCATTCCTGTGTTCGCCACAACACTACAGAGGACAGCTGGTCCTCGCAAATGCAGCAAAATAAAGTGTTATGTCATTCATGGTAACTTAGCATACTGGAATTAAAAGGTTTTTAAAAATACTTTCATTGATTTCAGAGAGGAAGGGAGAGGGAGAGAGAGAAACATCAACGATGAGAGAGAATCACTGATCAGCTGCCTCCTGCAGGCCCCACACGGGATCGAGCCCACAACCCGTGCATGTGTCCTTGATCGGAAGCAAACCTGGGACCCTTCCGTCCGCAGGCCAACACTCTGTCCACTGAGCCACACCGGCCGGGGCTAAAAGTTTCTCGATAGCCCTGCCGGTGTGGCTCAGTGGTTGAGCATTGACCCGTGAACCAGGAGGTCACAGTTTGATTCCTGGTCAGGGCACATGCCCAAGTTTTGGGCTCAATACCTGGTGAGGGGCGTGCAGGAGGCGGCCAATCAATGATTCTCTCTCATCACTGATGTTTCTATCCTTCTATCCCTCTCCCTTCCGCTCTGAAATCAATAAAAACAGGAAGAAAAAAGAGATTTTTCTGGACCTGATCAAAGGAGTCCACCAGAACCTGCCTGCGGCCCGTGTGGTGTTGAGCCAGAAGCACGGCTAGTGAGCAGAGGACAGCGTGTCCGTCTGCTCTGGCCCTCTGTGCTGCAATGAGGCCAGAGAGAGAGAGAAAGGTTCGAGACCGGAATGGAAGAAGGGAAGGAAACGCTTTAGGGAGAAACGTGCTCGCATCTGAGCCAGGTCGTGCTTTGAGGAACCTGCTAGACTGAGCGGGGCCAGAGCAGATGGTGTGTCCAGACCGCGGGCCGGGCTCCCTGACGCTGTCTCTGTCTTCGCAGCGTACTGGAGGTTCTGGCTGTGTGTCAGCGTGGTCTACGAGCTGTTCCTCATCTTCATCCTCTTCCAGGTAAGCAAGCCGCTCCTCCGGGCTGGGCGCACAGGGTTAGGTGATGGCGTGGAGAGAGAGCGTGACAGGTCTGCACGTCAGCCTGTCTGGGGCCGTCAGCAAAAGGCCAGCTGCGGTGTAGAAAGGGGGACACCTGACGCACGTTAACGGCTCGCCCACTGGGAGCCCGAAGGGCAGGCGCCTCCTGCAGGCAAAGGAGAGGCTGTCTCTTCTAGAGCAGGTGCCTTCCTGCCCTGGTTCCCCATTGGCCCATTTCCATGCAAATAAGGAATCCAGGTTTACACCGTCTGATTGGGCAGCTTCAGACATTCTGATTGGTTGTAACGGAGCTGCTCTGATTGGTCAGCATATGCAGATGAGGTATAGCTGTGCAGCCGATTGGTGGAAAGGATACCAGGAGCTGCTCTGCAAGGTCTGCTCAGCTGCAGGAACACTGCAGTCCAGGAGGCCGAGGGCTCAGGCAGAGGCTTCTCCCTGAAGTGCAGTCTGCCTGGCAGGCCTCTGTCCCTTATGGCTGCCGGATTCTGGTCATGAAATGTGCCTGGTTAAGCACAGGGAGTCCTCCAGGTCCACAGCAGCAAGGCTGAACCCCCAAAAAGTGAGCACAGGCCCGGCCAGTGTGGCTCAGTGTTGGGTGTCGATCTGTGAGCCAGGAGGTCACGGTTCCATTCCCAGTCAGGGCACATGCCCCAGTCATGGGCTCGGTTCCCCAGGAACCGAGGGAGGGGGCGTGCAGGAGGCAGCCGATTGACAATTCTCTCTCATCATTGATATTTCTCTCTCTCCTTCTCCCTCCCTTTCTCTCTAAAAATCAATAAAAACATTTTTTTACAAAGTGAGTGGAAGCTGTGAGGGGACCTTGCAATGTCCCCTTTCAGCAGAACCTATATTCTGGGCGTGGAGCTCGCGCCCGGGCCTCTGGTGCGGGTTGTGCTGCGTGGGCTCTGCCCTGGCGGCCTCGGGTCAGTCGAGCTGGGGCAGGGCCAAGCGTATGGACTGGCTCCCATTCGGGCACCTGGTGGGCCGCCTTGGCTCTGAGTGGCAGGAAGGCAGAGCTGGGCAGGACCAGCGCTGGGACAGCACACCTGTCCCGACATGGCGCTCTCGGTGGCCCCGGCGGCCTCACTGGGGCTCTGTGTGCTGGCTGACGGCTGTGGCTCCGTGCGCATCTCCCTCCGTGCACGTCCTGTGGGTGCGTGTCCTGCGGGTGCGTGTCCTGTGGACGGTCGGAGGATGTGGGTGTCAGGTCAGGATCTGCTGCCTCTCGCGTCTGTGCTGTTACTCTTCCTCCTGCTTGGCTCGTGAACGCGCCTCTCATGGAATCTTCCACTTCCAAGTGGCTCCCTGCTCGCGGCCTCGGAAGCCTCAGGGCGCTGGGCGCTCGTGCTCACCTGGCAGTCTCCTTACGGGCAGCGGGCAGCTCTGTGAATGTTAATGCCGTTCGTGTTTGCGCCCACAGCGAGAACAGAACAGCCCCCCCAGGCGGCCAGAAGGGGGGGCTCTTTGTGTAACTTCAGCCTCGTTTGCCACCAGAAGCCCCTCTCAGTAGCTGCTTCTTCCTTCGGGCTCCCGCCCCTAAGCCTGTTTCTGCCCCAGGACCCCCCAGAGCACTGAGCGGTCCCACCTCCTCAGGCCCCTCTGGGCTGGGAGCCACGCCCCTGTAGAGGGAAGTGAGTTGGGAAGTGATGGGTCCTGTCTCTTGCGGGTGGTCTGACCCACGAGGTCTCCTGCAGCTTCAGGTGCCTTTCAGGGTCCCGTGTCCGTTTCTGTGCGGCAGGTGGGGTGCTGACGGCCCCTGGGGTGGGCCGGGCAGGGTCGCCTTCCATCGCGAGCACAGGGCCTCCCATCGTGAAGGTCGGGGAACGTGCTGGCTCCTCCTCCCAGTGCAGGCCCTGGGGTGGCCGGGAGGGGAGGACCCCGCAGTGCAGGCCCCGGGGTGGCCGGGAGGGAGGACTCTCCGCTCCACGCTCGGCTCGCTCGTTCGCATTCTCCAGAAACAGCTCGTGTCGGTGCATGGAGCTTGCGTCTGGCGCCCTTGCTGAGCTGGTTCGTGCTGACAGTTCTCTTTGCTGCTGCTGTTGGGTTTCTGGGCATCCTCTGCACAGGCGATGCCGTCTGCACAGAGACGGTTCTGTGCCCTCCTCTCCGACCTGGTGCCGCCCCCCCTCTCGCGGTCACACTGCCCAGCCAGGCCCCGCCGGCAGCCAGACTGGGAGGTGGGCAGCGGCGGCCCTGCTTTCAGGGAAGAGCCTCCTGTCCGTCCCCTCAGAATGCCGTCGCTGGGGGTTCCCTGGGGGCCCTTGCAGGTGGAGGCAGCCCCTCTGCTCCTACGTCGTTGTCTTTATCATGAACACGTGTTGGGTGTCGTCAAATGAGGTGAGCATGTGGGTGCGCCCTCTGTGCCTGTGCGTGATGTGTGTGCTACGTCGACGTGCTTTCTTGTTTGGAGCCAAGCAGCGTTTCGGGGACCCACCCTGGGCGCGGTGAGCAGCCCGGGGCACGCTGTGCTCCGTCCGCTGTGCTGAGGGTCCTGCGCCTACACTCACGGGATGGCACCCCGTTTCCTGTCGGGACTTTCCTGGTGTGGGTGTCAGGGCCACTGGGATTTACCTGGTGTTTTTCTCGTGATCTGACAGATAAAGGTGCCAACACCAACATCACTTGTCGCTGTCGACGCCACCTCGACCCCCGCGACACAGCCGCCTCCTGGCCTGGAGCCCCCTGGCCGGGGATGGGGGCTTGTCTCTGCCCGGGCTGTCAGGGTCCCAGTTGTTGCTCTCGGGGCTGCGGTGCTTGGGTTGTAGTTGATTTCATGGCCCAGATGGCTGGGCCGTCGGGAGCTCACTCGCTCGGCTCCTGCGCGCCTCGCCCCGTCGTGGGTTCTGGGCGTCCTACTTGGGTTCGTCTTGTGTTTTTGAGCACTTCCCTTCCTTCTGCACCAGAAGACAGTGCAGGCCCATCCTGGCATTGCCTGCCCGGCCAGGCCCAGCCCCTCGCAGGAGCCCTGTCCTTCCTGGAGGAAGGTCTGAGGGCCGAGGCCCCGCAGGCACACGGCCACGCTCCCCAGCCACGCTCGCTCGTGTCTGTAAATAAACACCGCTGTCACTCGCACCCTCCTTCCCTGCGTCTGCCCCCCCCTCCAGGCTGCGTCCCGTCACGGGAGCCCGGTCACAGGGAGGGCCCAGGGCCAGGGCCTCACTGGCTTTGCGGAGTGGGGTCAGGTCTGTCTGCCACGGTGGCCCGTCCTCCGTGACTTCTTACTTCTTACATCCGTGCGTGTTCAAGACTCTGCCCCTGCTGGCTGGCCACTGGCTCAGGACTCGGCCCTGCTCACCCTCAGACCCGAGGTCACAGAGCCCACGGGGACCTCATCTCTGCAGCACATCCCTGTCTGAGGGACGCTCCCAGAGATCCGGGCTCAGCTGGTGACAGAGGAGGGCCTCGGCCGTGGGACAGGAGGGCCTCGGCCGTGGGACAGACGCAGGTCTGAGTGCCGCCTGTCACGCAGCCTCGCTGGGCTGCTCCCTGGGGCGGGTGGGGGGCCAGGGTCTTGGTGATGAGCATGTGGGGGACGCCTCCTCCGTCACCGTGGTCCAGAGTGTGTGCTTATGTTGGTGTCTGCGAGAGGGAGGGGCTTCCTGACGCTGTGTGTCGTGGGGAGGGGCAGCGAGACCAGCGATCGGAGACCCCAGTGCTCCCACGGGAGGCGCACCTGGGACCCCACACGGCCTGGTCCTGTGGGGGTGCGAGCGTCACCTGGAGCTCGGGACTCCCCCGTCCGCTCAGACCCGAGTAGGGGGACGGTGTGTGGTCGACGGAAGTGTCGTCTGCGCACCACAAATCCCGTCCCCCTGGGCGGCTGGAGGTGTCAGTGCTGGGCGGGGGCGGGGCCACTCACGCGGACGCTGGCCTTGCAGACCGTGCAGGATGGCCGCCAGTTTCTGAAGTACGTTGACCCCAGGCTGGGGGTTCCGCTGCCGGAGAGGGACTATGGGGGGAACTGCCTCATCTACGACGCAGACAACGAGACAGACCCCTTCCACAACGTCTGGGTAAGGACGCCCAGGGGGCAGGGCCAGGATGCAGTGGGGGGTGGTCCCCATTGGAGGGGCACCCTGTGTCCTCGGGTTCGGGTGTGTCCACACACATCTCAACACGTGTGTGTGAGACCCCAGATCGTCCCCTGGCAGGCGCTGTGCAAGGGGCCCTGGGTGTGCACAGGGGAGGGAGGCCTCGGGCTGTGAGGACATCACAGGACCCAGGCAGGGCTGTGGAGGCTGACAGGGAGGGGGGGTGTGTGAGGCCTGCGTCTCATCCACAGGACAAGCTGGATGGCTTCGTGCCCGCGCACTTTATTGGCTGGTACCTGAAGGTAAAGGAGCTCATGGGCGGCTGGCATGTCCTCTTTGCCACCCGCCCTGTGTCCTGGGCCTCTGCTGGTCCTGGGTGGACGTTGAGTGGTCTGACTGATGAGCAGTGCTGGGGGCCACAGCGCAAGACTCCCGGCGCCGTCCATGGCATGTGGGGCAGTGGCCGTGAGAACAATGGAGGAGACCCCCCCCACCCCCCGCCCTGTGCCTGCCCTGCTCCCAGTGAGGGCGGCTTCGGGAGGCCTGACGCAGGGGTGTGCCCTTGCCCCGCCCGCAGACCCTGATGATCCGCGACTGGTGGACGTGCACCATCGTGAGCGTGATGTTCGAGTTCCTGGAGTACAGCCTGGAGCACCAGCTGCCCAACTTCAGCGAGTGCTGGTGGGACCACGTAGGTGCCGGTGATGGGAGGGCGTCCGCCCTGGCCTGGCCTGAGGCCTGTGTCCCGCATCCGGGCCCGCCCACCCTGCGGGGGAGGCGGGGGGCTCAGGGGAGGCCGGACGGAGCTGCAGGGTCCACGCGGCTGCCTCCCACCTCCAGTGGATCATGGATGTGCTGATCTGCAATGGGCTGGGCATCTACTGCGGCATGAAGACCCTCAAGTGGCTGTCCCTGAAGACGTACAAGTGGCAGGGCCTCTGGAACATTCCGACCTACAAGTACGTCTGCCGAGTGTGGTGCTGCAGGGCCTGGGCATCGGGGTGGGGCCTGGAGGGGCCCTGAGGGTCGGCCCTGTGCCCTCCGACGTGTCTGGGGGGGCGGAGGAGGGTTTTGCCTCCTGTACTCCCCACCTGGGGTTTGACCCTGGGCTGCCCGCGGGAACCTCGAAGGCCCTCCCAGTGGCTGGGACGTCAGTCAGTCGTGCTGTCTGGCCAGTGGCCGCGGCCCCGCAGCCTGCTCAGGGTTGCCCTCATGGCGTGGCCGCAGGCTCTGCCATTTGTATTTTGAATTTAAAAGAAAGAGGCTAGGGCTGGGGAGTGGGGTCTCCTCTCCTGTCCATCATGGGTGTCTTGGGGTGGCGGGCACGGGACTAGGAACCTGCTGAGGTCCCCCCCCCCGCTCCCCCCCGGCTCCAGGGGCAAGATGAAGAGGATATTGAAATAGCAGAGTTTAAAGGATTGAGATAATGACACCTTTGAGTACTCTATCCATAATGGCCTTAAGTATATCTTTCACTAAATCATACAGACTGAAATCCTAATAATTCAAGAGACGTCCAGTCCATTATCACCTCAACCTTTGACTCATCAGCCTTCCGCCGCCTCCCGCGCACGGTCCTCTGGGCGGGGCTCGCCGCCCACACGCCCTGTCCCCCAGTTTCTGTTGGCAGAGCTGAACACCTTCTACCTGAAGTTCGTGCTGTGGCTGCCCCCGGAGCACTCGCTGGTCCTGCTGCAGACCCGTGAGCCGCGGAGGACGGGGTGAGCGGGCCTGTGCCCACGCAGGGCGCCCTCCAACGCGTGCCTCCCCCTGCAGGAAGCCACACAAGAAGCTGGGCCAGCAGGCCTGGCTGGAAAAAAAAGCAATACAAAGTGGTCAAGTACGACCCGCAGACGCTGACGCTGTCCCTGCCTTTCTACATCGCCCAGTGCTGGACGCTCGGCTCCGTGCTGGTGCTCACCTGGACCGTCTGGCGCTTCTTTCTGCGGTGAGGCCCGTCCCAGGCGGGTGCCACGGTTGGTCCTGTGTGGCTCTGTCCACCCGCCCAGCCGTGCAGGGCAGGCCCTGGGGCCTCCGCAGGCCGATGACCCGCCCTACTGCCCCCAGGGACATCACCCTGCGGTACAAGGAGACCCGGCGGCAGAAGCAGCAGAGCAGCAGTGACCAGGGCAACACTGTTGGCCACGGGGACAGGCACCCATCTGGGCCGGACAGCCCCTCAGGGCCCCTGGAGGCTGAGAGGGAGGGGGCACCGGCTCTGAACTGACCTGCTCCCCACCCCCGCCAGGACACAGGCTGTGTCCCCTCCTCCGATGCCTGTCAGGAGCCTCCGCCAGGCCTCCCCCTCCCCCAGCAACAGAGAGGCTCGGGGCCTGGAGGAGGCCTGCCCCACAGGCTGGTGTGCGGTGGCCTGTGTGCACCTTGTGGGCTCCGCGCTCCGGGCTTCTCAGCGGCGGTGTGGCTGGGGGTGCCCTGGGCAGCGGTCCCCTTTCTGTTGGTCTGCCCACAGGCCTCTGGCCACACCGAGCCCTGGCGCCTAGAGGGCCAGGCCCTGATCCCCAAAAGCCCCTCCGCCCCGCGCCCACGTGTTCCTGAGGGTGGTCCACCAGCTCCTGAGATGGCCGAGACGGGCAGATCCGAGCTGCAGCCCTGAGCCGTTTCCTCGGAGCCTTCCGCCAGCCCAGCTGACGCAGAGGGCATGGGGGGCGGGGCCAGCCCCTCAGCCCTGTGCCCAAGGTTGGAAGGAGGGGTCCTGGGTCTCTGGCCCCAAGTTGGTCATCTCCACGAGCAGACAGAACAAATAAATGGCGATGGACTGAGCTCGTGTCCTCACTGACCCCACGCCCCCTCCCTGGGGTCATCGCCCAGAGGGGCAGAGTCCAGTGGCAGGGCTGCCGGCCTGGGCACAGGGGTCACCCGCTCTGCCGTGTTTGTGCCCCTGGCGGTGCCTGCACGGGGGACAGTGTGCTTGTTGGGGGCGGGGGGGACGCTGGACCCTGGAGGGGGGCTGAGTGCACCTGCTGAGAAGGGAGGTTGCTCAGTTGCTTTATTGTCAGCTCCTTTGGGGGGTGTGGCCGAGAGGCTGAGAAAGGGCTGTGAGCACCGTGCGCCCCCAGCTGCCCCTCCCCTGAACCTTGTCCCTGCGAGCGCCCTCTTGCTAGTGGAGCCCCTGCGGCCACAGGCTGCCCGCATTTCAGAAGTGTCCAGGATTGGCTGTCTGCTGTGGAGTGCCCGCCCCCAGCCCCCGGGCTGGCTCTGCACTTGGATGTCCCCAGCTCCACCCCCATGTGTGTCCCTGAGGCTGAGCCGTGTCACAGCAGATGCGATGGTGCTGTGTCCATGGTCACTCCTCTAAGTCCCAGCCTCCCTCCTCGCTCTGCTGTCCCCGTGGGTGGTGGCCGAGCTCCCCTTGTCCTGGCTGGTCCTCTGGGCAGCCCTAGGCTCTCCTGTCCCAAGTGCGGGTACTGACTCAGCTGCTGCGGCCAGAATGCCTCCCGACCGTGCCAGTCAGAGCAGGTCATCCTGTGCTGGCAGGTGAGGCCTGCCAGGCGCGAGGGTGTGCCCTGCCCTCCATCCAGGGGGCTGAGAGCTGTCGGGAGAGCGCGCTGGTTCCAGCAATGTGCAGGCCCACGGCTACAGGTGAGCCAGGCCTCTGAGGCAGAGAGCACGTTCTGGGGCCCGCAGTGTGGGAGGACGTGGCTCCCGGGGCAGACCTGCTGTCTGCTCAGGCCCTGAGGCAGGAGCTGTGGGGTGGCTGCCAGGGCCTGTAAGACATGTGTTTTAGCTGCCAAATCTGGGGTGGTCTCACCTGCAATGCAGAACCTCAGGGACCCACAAGGAAGGACAAAGAACCTTCAGGACCTTCTACCCAAAACATTTTAATAATTATAAAGTGTCCAGAGTGTTTACAGAAGCTGGTGTGAGCATTTCCCTTCAGTTATGGCTAAGGCACCAGGAGTGACCCCGAGAGCTGGCCAGCCCCTCGGGCGCCGGGGCGGGG